CTGAGGAGAGGTGGGGCGAGCGGCGACGGGGAGGAGGAGGAGGAGGAGGAGGAGGAGGAGGAGGAGGAGGAGGAGGAGGAGGACCATGTATACCAAAGACTCACCAGCGATGTTGGAAGAAACACTCCGCCCTGACTCCCTCATTATAGGCCTCATACACGGATTCATTGCCACTGAAGGGAGTGCCCCGTTGGGGGACAACCGTTGGAAGATCCTGAGCCTTGCCAAACACCATCCTCAAGACTTCATCGCGACGAATCAATCTGACTGTTGCGTCTTGAAGATCCTGAATCGTGCCAAAACGCCATTCCTGGGACTTCGACACCGCGACTCAATGTAACCGTTGCGCCCTGACGATCCTGAATCGTTTCAAATACCCTTTTCGGTTACGTTAACCATGGGAACCCTTGAAATTCCTGCAACTGTTAGAAAAAATGCGCGGCGCTAAAGCGAGAGCCACATTTTGAAAAGGAACCACCGACAATCCTTGAAACCCTTGCATTTTGTACAACGAATGTGCGCGGTGCTACGGCGAGAGCCACATTTTGAAAACGACCCGCCCTCAATCCATGAAGCTCGTGCAAGTTAAAAACGAATGTGCGCGGCGCTGAGATTGAACCACAGTTTGAAAACCAGCCGCCCTCAATCCGTGCGCGGCGCTGAGGCGAGAGTTACACGATGGAAGCGGCCCGCCCTCCATCTGTGAAGCCTTCTGCGATCTCTGTCTGCACATCAAGATCACAAATGTTTTGGAAGTCTAAAGCGAAACGCCGGGCCCACCCTGCCGACCGGCCTCGGGGTGCGACAGGGAGGAGCTCCTTACAAGGAAGATGAGGACGAGGGGGGGGGAGAGGATGGGGAGGGAGAGGCGGAGGAGGACGAGCGTAAACCCAAGATTTATCAAAGATGTTAGAATCCACCCTCCCTCCGAACTCCATCGTCCTGGGCCCCTACAAAGGTTCATTTCCACTGAGGGAAATGCCCAGTTGGGGGACAACCGTGTGAAAATCCTGAAACTTACCAAAACACCATTCTCACGACTTCAACGCCACAAGTTAACCAAACAGTTGCGCCTTGACCATCCTGAATCGTGCCAAACCACCCTTCATAGGATTTCAACAGCGCGAATCAACGTAACTGGTGCGCTCCGAAAACCCTGACTTGCTCCAAAACACCATTCCTGACTCGTTCACCATGAGAGTGCATGAAATTCTTGCCAATGTTTGACACGAATGTGCGCGGCGATAAAGCGAGAGCCACATTTTGAAAAGGATCCGCACTCATTCGGTGAAACTCTCGCAATTGTTCACAATGCATGTGCGCGGCGCTAGAACGAGAGCTACATTCTGAAAACGACCCGCCCTCAATCCATGAAGCTCTTGCAAATCGAAAAACGGATGTGCCGGGCGCTCAGGCGAGGACCACATGTTGAAGACTACCCGCGCTCAATCCGCGAAAACCGTGCAAATTTTCAAAAACGAATGTGCGCGGCGTTGATGCGACAGTCAGATTTTGGAAACCACCCGCACTCCATCTTTGAAGCTGCTGCCAGTTTGAAAATTTCAGGCTCATAAATGGTAAGGAAATCTCAGGCGAAACGCCTGGCCCGCCCTTCCGACTGGCCTAAGAGTGCACGAGTTACTCATAAGGGAAAGGAATGGAGGAGGAAGAGGAGAAGGGGGAAGAGGGACAGGGAAGGGAAGAGGATGGAGGGAGCACGAGAAGCAGCAAGGAAGGACGGAGAGGGAGCGGGAGAGAAGAAGAGGAGTGTTTTTGGATCGGTTAGTTTACCCAGAGGCTCAATCAGAGCATGCACCTGAGAAGACCCACAACCACGTGACGAGGAGGAAGAGGAAGGCGACGAAGAGGAAAATGGAAAAAATGCACCGGAGAGCGAGGGCGGGGGAGGGAAGGGTAGAAAGGGGAAGGAGGAGCCACAAGAGCATGAGGAGGACGCCAGGAGTATGCCGCAGGGGGCAGAGGGGGAAAAGGGGGGGGAGAATGCAGACCCCACTCTTCCCCTTCCTCTTCCGCCCCTGCTGGTTTCGTCCCTTCCCTCTCCTCGTCTCCGCTTCGCTCCCTCGCCCTTCCTCTGCCTTTCTGCACCTCTCTCCCGCAGCCCTTCCTCCGCTCTCGGCAAACCGGCTGCGGGCGCCGCCGGGGGGCGGCGGCGGTGGCAAGGCTGCCACGGGGGCGGCGGGGGCCAGGATTTTGCTACTCTTCGGCCCCTTTCCGAGGCCCCCGACGGCCCCGAGGGGCGGTTCGGGATGAGGGGCCAGAGCCTAGGAAAGAGGTCCAGACCTCTGGCGAGCCACGCCGTGGAAAAAAAAAAAAAAAAAAAAAAAAAAAAAAAAAAAAAAATTGACGCCAGACGTCGGGGGAGGAGAGGGGGGAGGGGGGGGGAAGAGCGGCAGGCCGATCGCCGCGGTCGAGCTCAGCCAAGGGCGCTGGAGGTGGGCGCGCAGCCTATGCTGCCAGGAGGACGACGACGAACGACGACGACGACGACGACGACGACGACGACGACGACTACTCTACAGAACCACTTACCAATACATACACTCCAACTTTTTTTACCCACTACTACTACTGACTACTACTACTACTATACTACTACTACTACTATACCACTACTACTACTACTACCTACTTACTACTACTATACTACTACTACTACTACTACACTACTACTAATACCACTACCACTTACTACTACTTACTACTACTTACGACTACTACTAATGCTACTACTACTACTACTACTACTAATACTACTGCTGCTGAGACTACTTCGATTGCCACCTCGTGCTGCCACTACTTATACTACTACTACTACTACTACTAAAAAAAAAAAATACAACTACTACTACTACTACTATACTACTTACTACTACTATCTTACTCCTATTACTAACTACTACTACACTCTAATACCGCCGACTCGGCACTACTACTACTACTACTACGAACTACGACTACTACTAATACTATTATACTACTACTACGACGGGCAAATCTGTTTGGACACTTACTACTACTACACTGCTACGCCATACTACTACTACTTTTACACTGTACAACTACCACTAGTACTATTGTACTAAAGTACGACATGATCTATTAGTAGTAGTCATTAGTACTACTACTACTACTACTACTACTACTACTACTACTACTACTACTACTACTACTACTACTACTACCACTACGAATACTACGAATACTACTACTACTGCTGCTGTTGCTACAACGACAACTACTGCTACCGCTACGACTACTACTATTACGACGACGACTTCTACTACTACAGCTACTACTTCTACTACTCCTACTACTACTACTACTACTACTACTACTACTGCCACTACTACTACTACTACTACTTCTTCTGCTGCTACTACTTCTATTACCACTGTTACTACTACTAACACTACTACTCCTACTACTACTACTACTACTACTACTACTACTGCCACTGCTTCTGCTGCTACTACTTGCGCTACCACTACTACTGCCACCACTACTACTACTACTACTACTACTACTACTACTACTACGACTACTACTACTACGACAACAACTACTACTACTACTGCTACTACTACTACTACTACTACTACTACTACTACTACTACCGCGACGATTGCGACTACTACTACGATACTACTGACTACCACTACTTACTACTTACTACTAATTCTATTACGTACTACTACTACTACCACCACTACTACCACTACTACTAGTACTACTACTACTACTACTACTACTACTACTACTACTACCACTACTAATACTACTACTACTACTACTACTACTACTACTACTACTACTACTACTACTACTACTACTACCACTACTACTTCTGCTGCTACTACTTCTAGTACCACTACTGCTGCTACTACGACTGCTACTACGACTAAAACTATTATACTACTAGTATTACTACTACGACTACTACTACTACTACTACTACTACTACTACTACTACTACCACCACCACTGCTACTAGTGCTGCTACAACAGCAACTACTGCTACTACTACTACTACTACTACCACTACTACTACGGCTACAACAACAACTACTACTACTACTACTACTACTACTACTGCTACTACTACTACTACTACTACTACTACTACTAGGCCAGAGGCTGTTCGGTAGCCTGTGTTTTCGCATACGCAGAAGCGAACGCCCGCGCAGCGACGACGACGACGATGACGGTGGCAGCGGTGATGATGGAGCGTGTCTTGAGGCAGTGATGTGCCCATCGCGTCTCGCAGTGCAAACTACCGAACATACGGTGACTGCTCTCATCTCTTATGCGCTCCACACTGGTCAGCGTGAGTGCCCACGCTGCACCCTTACACTGAAAAAGCAACAGCCCAAAACTTTGCGTTTGAAGCAGCTTCGCCAGCGCCTGAACTCAGCGGCCCAGCAGCCTGGCCAATGACTTGAGCGCGCCCTCAGGACGCGCGGAGGAGGAGGAGGAGGAGGAGGAGGAGGAGGAGGAGGCTGGAGGGATGCCCCCATGTCTCCGACATCTCCGGAGCTCTCTCATGAATGCAGGTCTTGGGGGCGACTATTTTTCGACATCGCACGTTCAATTGTGAAAGGGAATGCTTGCATGGACATGTGCGGAGGGAACGTGGGACGGTAGGGTCGGCAGGGTGCAGCGCAGCATCGTTGATGCATCCTGGCTTCTGTTCTCTCTCCGCGACTTCAGAAAGCCATGCGCCTCGGAATTCGACAACTACCTCGGATGTCTGGTGAAATTGAAAAGGAAATTGGTACAACAATCGACTCCCATCAACTCGGCTGCAACTTCCTCCTCCTCCTCCTCCTCCTCGTGCTCCTCCTACGGGAGGGTGCATTGCAGCATCGTTGATGCATCCTGGCTCCACTCTGAGTTTCTTCCTCCTCCTCCTCCTCATCATCATCATCCTGATCCTCCTACGGGAGGGTGCATTGCAGCATCGTTGATGCACCCCGGCTTCA